TCTTTACTATCTTACTGAAAAACTATTTTTAAGAGGTTTCAGGAAAATGCATATTCCTTTGTTAATGTTTGTGAATAGCTAAGAGGATTTTGTGGATCCTTGTACATAAAGAAAAACCTGTCCTTGGCAAGTACAACAGCTCCTTGAGGAATATGACAACTATAAAATTTTTCTTGAGTTTAATCAGAAGCAAAATTACCTTTTCTAGTTTTATTCTTGTGATGTAGAAATACACAATTCCAAGAAAGGGAACAACATACTGCCTGTGTCAGTAAGCTGGGAAGATAATAACACATATAAGAATAGATTATACATGTTATTTTATCTCATCAACTAGTCATTCTTATCCCTTTTCTCATAACTTGCAGATCTACATGAAATAGTTTTGTATGCTGGAAGTAGAAGATGTTGTGTTTAGAGGGATTTTTTTATCAGCTGGTCATACTCAGGTTTATCCTTCTAATTCTCATTGATTGAACAAAATTGAAGTTGGTCCAGCAGTTGATGAGTTACATGGGTAGAATTTTACCACCTAAAGCCACATACGGGATTTTAATTGATTTCACTGTTGTTTTGACTTTTGTTTGTGTAGAGCTGAATCTCACAAACAGTTTGTGTTTGGCTACTTGAAATAAAAAAGTTCATGGTTTCCAACTTTTACTGGTTTTCACTCCATAAGTATAAATTCCTAAAATGAAATCCATACCTGTCAAAATATAATCTGTATTTTATCGGACCATATTAACAAGGAAAGTGTTACGTTTATCTTACAGAAATGTTGGAATCCAATAATATAATCAATTTCAATGGACTAGCTAATAGCTCCAGTTACCACACCTTCCTCTTGGATGAAGAACGCAGCCGGCTGTACATTGGAGCAAAGGATCACATATTTTCTTTCAACCTGGTTAACATCAAGGAATATCAAAAGGTACTTTCATTCATGTTTTGTACAATGTAAAGGTATACTTTTAATGTTGCAGATATTAGACTGTATTGGGCACTGTACATATTATGTAGTAAATGTTTGGATGTCAGGAGTACTATTACAGCAAAAACATTTGCTGACTCTGTGAAGAGAAATGTCTAATAACCTATAACCTATGACTGTATAATCTACAATGCTTTTTTCAGACTGTTAAAAAGTAAATGATAAGTGAATAATCCAGCTATTTCCCGAACAAGACGTGCTTTCATGTTTACAGCTAAAAAACCCAAACAACTATTGGACAGTTTGTGCAAAAAGACCTTATTTCTCTGTATTTATTTGCAGATAAAAATAAGCTGTTTGGGAGTCCAAGTGCTGATTTCTGTCCTTTAACCCAGCACTTGTAGGCACTCTGCCTCTGCTGCTTTCAAACTAAAACAGATTCAGTATTAGTAAAAGAGGAATAGGTCCGTAAAAGCCTGCCATTCTTGATAGAGAGTATAATTTTCCAGAAAAAGTTGGTGAGAAATTAAAAGCTGACAGACTGTTCAGTGATATTCTGTTGTTGGCGTCTAAATAAATAATTTAATTTTTCATTTATTTTAATAAGACAAAATGCTAAGACGGTAAACAATGGGATGGAGGCTTGATTTGTTATATTTAAGTATTTTCATGGCACATTTTAAAATCCAGAGGGTACCCTTTTATGAGAGATATATTGCTTCAATAGCCAGGGATTTTTTTTTCTTGGTGTTCCTGACCTTTTGTCCATTTGACTATTAGCTTCCTAAGATGATAGCAATAAATACCTTGTGTTTTCTGTTCAGAGGGAAGACAGGCTATTTACTTGTATTCTCTAAGGAAAAAGGATAAAAGGAAAACTGGGTATTTTCTTTTCTATTCTCTTTAGAGCAGCTATAAAGGAAACTAGCTATTTATTTGAATTCTCTGAGGGACTGATAGCTTAATGTGCAAAACATCTGGAATAATTAAAGGAAAGAAGGTGTTTCCATTGCAGAAAACAGCTCTGTAGGATGGAAGGAATTGTGTCTTACATGCTTACATATTCAGATACCTATCTGAAATTATATACAGTTATTACTATTTTAAATAAAGAATTGCTGTTGGTAACATGGAACTGAATGTTGGCAACACACTTAAAGACTTACAATTTAGAGTTTAGATTTAAGAACAGACAAAAGACTTAAAGAATTTGAGGATGTACTTATTAAAGACAGGGGGATTGTGGAAGAAACTTCAAAATCACAAGGCAGCCAGTGCTGCACTTGAGCTCAAACTTCACCAGTTGTTGCTTCGACCATGCAAAAAACCCCTACGGTTTCTACCTAAACGCTGATAGCAATATAAGATTCCAAAGGAGCACATCTCAAAAGACCAAACTTTCCAGTCTACTAAAACCAGTTCAATTTAGCTGACGCTTAAATCGAATTAGAGGAAAATCTTCTGCTATGAGAATAAGGAAAAGAAACATCTAGCCATCCATTTTATGGATTAGAATACTAGTTTGAATAACATAGAAATCTTTGCCCAAAACTTGAACTGAACTTGAACTGGTCCTTTTGGGAGATCTGAGAAGTTTGGTTAATGTTTTTCAACCTAGTAAATTCAAATTTTCACATGTGTCTGCACATTTTAAGCTGAGAATAGAAACAGGAAGTAGCAGGAATCCTTTGAGAGAGAATATGCTCATAAAATTTTCAGCCTTATTTCATAGGCTTAAGATGTTCGGTTGCTGTTTGTATTTCATTAGGTTTTAAGGAAATTTTGAATTTAAAAACAATTGCAAACTGTATTTTTAAATGTCATATATAACATCTTCAACCTCTGCTGTCATTCACATTAATTCTTTTCTCCTTTCTTTTTGAATGCTTTGCCTTTTACTTTCTGTTAACAAACTATATTGAACACCAAGGCTGTAATCCAGACCTATGGCCATTCATATTGCATTATCTGAGGCTCCCAAATGAATAGCCTGGCATTTTATGGGAAGATCATGTTTTATTCTATATGTAATTCCTAAAAGCTTTTCAAAAAACCATGAATAATTGACTGTGAGGGTCTCTGGATTTTCTCTGTATGAGGTGAGATCCATTTTCTGCTAGGCAAACACTACAGTAAACCTAGGTTTAGATTTACTTGTGTTAGGATAGCTCTACAGGAAGAATATAAGCATTTCTATTTCTATAGTGTGCTACTTTTCAAATACCAAGACTTCTTTTTTATTGTTTAACTAACTAAACCTAGTAAAAGAGTGAACTAGTAGATACACTGAAGAGGCAAACAGCTCATTGCTGATGCTGTAACTCTAACGTCAGATCACATTTCACATAGATCCAATTTATTGTTCATAAGTGTCTGCAAGTTTTTGCTCTCAGTCTCCATTCCACTCCATCAGATCTCAAACAGTAAAAGAACACTCACTTAACGCAGAGGCAACCCTCTTGTCGTTAGTATTCAAGATTCACAATACAGACTATATTTCAAGATTGTTTTTACTGTGATTTCTATTATCCCTATTTTGTTGGTAACATTTAATTTCTTTATTGTCAAATTTTATGGAAGAATATGAAATAAGGAAAGAATGGGGAAAAGAGAAACTTAGTAAAGACATTCTGTAGCATTTGGTCTGCAATTTGTGATTGTTGAAGCATGAAATAAGACAACGTGATTTTTCTTCTGTGTCTTTAGATTGTTTGGCCTGTATCTCATTCCCGTAGGGATGAGTGCAAGTGGGCTGGAAAAGATATTCTGGTAAGTACAAATCTTTTCAGCATTTTTTTTCTCTTATAAAACATTGTAAATATTTTATTATGTTTTACTGTGCTAATTATTATGTTTTATTGTGCTAATTTTTCCTCCTCTGGAAGGTCACACATCTGATTATAACTTCGGTCTTGAGTTATCTTAGACTTCTTACTCAAAGTAATGAAACTTTATCTTCATGATCAGGGGTTTAAATTTATAAATGGAAATCATGCAAATGAAATAGATTTTTCCTACAAAAAAAAATCAACAAGAAAGAAAAGGGAAGAGAAACATCAGAATGAGAAATATTACCCCTTGTATACTCCTGTCCTCAGGGTGTATAATAGTTTGACCCATTTTTGCCGTGCTCCACGTCCCAATCCTACAGTGAGTTCCAAGTAGTGCTTTCTCTTTGTGGCTTTTCACTGGAGTCAGTGGGTTTCCCTGAGCTCTTTCCTGCATGGAGTTCATAGCAAGACTGAGGTCAAAGTGGTTTTAACATTCCACATCAGTTTTGGTGCCTCAGGAAAGACACTGTTACACTAGACATAACTTTCTGTACATTTTCCCCTCATTGCTGTGTACATCGTATTGCCTGTATTTATGAGGTAGGGCAGACATAGTCGGTAGCCCTAAAATAATAGTCACTCCACACTGATAATTACTGTCTCCTTTATAAGAAGAGTACAGGAAATGGGAATACAGGGCTGAAGAAGGGGAAAAAAGATAAAAAATACATGCATGCAATAAGTTAAAGAAATACTTGCATAGCACAGTAAAATGGGAAATCACTGTGGTTGCCAAGGTATAGCTGAGAGTGGAACTTGGACCCGTGTGTATATGCTATTGGCCTGATTTTCAGAGACGATTCTGTAAAATATTCATAATGCCAACCATATGCCTCTAGAGAGCTCCGTTTGAATAATTTCCTAGGTCATAGTAAAAATAGTTTGATAAGTCTTTACTTAGGCCACAGAGGACAGTTATCTTCATAAAAAGCCGTTTGGGAACAGTAGAGGTGGATTAGGTAAAAACGAAGACATTTGGGCTAAGCTATATATGAGAAGGGACAGCTGAAGTGCCAGATATTTGGGCTATCATCTCATTACGTAGAAATAATACATTTAAATTAATCCATCTTCATGTTCACAAATAATTTCCAGGAGTACACTGCAAGGTGAGGACTAGAGTATCTAATATTCAAGGTCAAAAAGAAATAAGGCTAGTGTGAAATGTCTGAGCAAATTAGCTAACATTGCACCTTGATCTTATACTAAGTATTATGATAAGTAGATTTTTTTCATAGCTGGGGTTGACACCTAGAAAACTGATAAGAGATTCAGCACCTAGAATGAAAGTATATTGCTTTAATTTTAATAATAATTATTTTTGCAAATTCAGAAAAGTAAGAAAGAGTATGTTTTATACATTGCACTAGGCTGATTCCAATCTATTCATTGAAACAGAGACACTATTATTCTGGAGTGAGATGGGAGGTTGAGGTCGTCGTCCTCTGACTATACATGTTGTAACGATTTTATTTGCCCTGATTCCTATGATATTAGGGCAGCTATCCCTGCTGATCATGAGTAAAAGGTGAAGCCGATACCAATGGTGTGCATTAGAAGCAGCACAGCTGTGAGCTGGTAGAAAAGAATAGAGCAGAACAGGAACACAGGGTTCAAGACTCAGTGCAGCCCAAAAGATAACAGTAGTACAGCACAATGTTACTAGAAACAGAGAATTTGTTTTCATAAATGTTTTTCATATATGTGGGTTGTTTGGGGTGGTTTTGCTTTCTTTTTTTAAAAATTTTTAAACTTCTCTACAAATGTAGGTAAGAAATAAAAGAAAATAACATAAATGCATAGATCATGTGCAATGTGGGTCCAGTTTTGGTAGGAAAATAGAAAGACGGAATATATATCATGGTGTGTTCAGGTCATCATCTTTAAATATTTACAGCTACCTACGCCAGCCATAAAACAGTGCATTACACACAGAGTATTTAATGTAACTGCTTTAACTGTAATTACAGATAACGATTACAGAACATTTAAGAAACTTATTATTCCTCCCTCATTTCTTCCTTAAAGCCATTGTCAGTACCTTGGGAGTGTGAAATATAAAGGCCATAAAAGCAATACAGCAGACTCTCATTAGAGTGAACAAGAGACATATAGGACAAATAAAGTGGTATATAAACCATGCTTGATTTAATATTGCTTTCAGCATGTACCACTGCTAAGATATTAGATACTCTTCACTTATGACGGTTCAAAACTTTCTACATGATAGTCTATGCTTCTACATTGAGGTCTTATTAAAAAAAAAAATTTTAATTATTGATCTCCAGGGAAAGGCAGTGCTGAAAATGCGAGTCCCCACTAATAGGCCAGGTGCACTGCAGCAGCTGCAGCGCAAGTATAACCCCGGCTCTGCCCCACTGCTAACCTCAGCTATGACCTCCGAGATTTCCTCTCGTAATTATAAGAGGTAATTTACTGTCGTTTTCACTCCTTCAGAGGGATTCCTGATACTGACGCTGTCAGTCGTGCCAATCTGGGCGCAGCAGGTTTGTAGCTCAGGACAGTCCACGCGGGATTTGAGGAGAGCGGCTGACTTGGGCTGTTCCCGCTCTCCTGATATTCCTTTGTTCCTTAAGAAGTCATTTTCATTTCTGTTTCTTAAAGGGCTATGTTAATCAGTTAAGCTTTGCTCACTGTATAGATAGACAAAGCTTTTAAAGTATGCTTTGGATCTTTTTTTTTTATATGGGTAAGCTGAGAAGAGTGGCTGAAAGACTCTCCCCGACTATGCAAGACTTACTTACAGCAGGGCTTCTCTGATAGAAATTAACTGCTACACTTTCTCACAAATTATAGATTTTTTCCCAATAAAATAGTAATTACTGTCCCATATAAGTACCTAGTATTAAAATACATTTCCTTTTCCTCAGTATAGAGTATCACAAGCACCATAGTAATATTGTTCTTGAAAAATTAAAGACTATAAATAACAAATAAGATATTTACTTAAGTAATTCAACTAAATGAGCACTTCTGTGAGGATTTCTTGCAATTCTGGACTTTATTCTCTCATTTGATCTATTCTGGTTGCTGTAAGTCCCGTGAATATTTCTCACGATTCCTGACCAGACCTTGGTAATGATCAAAGAAGACAAAGTCCCTATGGCATACTTCTCAGCTTTTACACTGAACTTACAGTACAGACATGGTGCTAGTCATATCCCTCACTAGAGAGCCGCAATATTTTGATTTTAAGATCTCACAGGCACCTGGGTCCCAGCAGAAACACATGGCAAACTCTGCATTACATATGGGTTAAATAATAGGTAACTGCAAAAAAAATGTGGCTACAATTCCACTCTGACATTCCTGGGATGTCATAAACCAGCAAAGCAAAGCTTGGGTGATTTACAAAAGATACCAGAAACTCTAGTTAGTTTTGCAGGTAGGAATAGAGTAGGGATAGCTTCTTGACTGGAAAGCTCATCTAGTCCTTAAACTATTAAGTTACTATTGTTTTAAAAGTTTTTGCTGCTGTTTAGTCGATAGATCTCTACACTAGATTTGGCTGAGGCACCATAGCAGTAGTTCGTATCATACACAATTAATCAGAGAAATCCCTACTAAAGCACATGATAGATTTCTACGACTTGAAAGCTTTAAAGATGTATTTCTGAAGGGCACATTAGGATGTTATTTTCAAGTCTGATTTGACTGTCTAATTTATTTAGCCACTCTTAAAGATCCCAGATAAAATTAAATTGTTGAAATGGTTGCTTCTGTCCTTGATATGGATAAATCTTTAAAATGTCAATGGGTACTTTAACAAACTCACACAGGACAAGCTACATAATGGCAGATACTTATACACACTTTGCATGCTGTATGATATCACCTGCTCCCTGGATGATTCTGGTGACAAATAAATGTTGATATACGAACAGATACAAAGAGTACCAAGTACTTTTATTTGGTACCAGCAAGCTCCTATGTACGCTCTGGGACATGAACAAGCAGGTCCATACAGAGAGTGAAGCGCTGTCGTGTTATTTCCCTTCACAGCTAAAGTGTATCAACATAATTGTGTGTGTATTAGCACTGACTGTATTGTAATTTATAGGAGATAGACATCTACTTGGGCTACTTAATTGCCGTTAGGCTTTACCTAGTTATTAACTCTTACCTGAGTACAACTGGTGGTAATTTGGAGTCACTTCAGATCAGAAACCTATTTCCAGCTAAGAAGAAGCAAGACTCTTTACACTATATAGCTGTATTCTGTGCATGCTTCTTTGCATTTAAGTGTGACTGGCACTTAATAATTAAGTTTATGGTTCGTACAGGTAGAATACATGGCTGTAATTTAGTTCCTCATCTTATTTGTTATAGTAACACTTAATTCAAGCCACAACGCTCGTATGTCATCTCAGTTTATGCTTCCTTTAAAGTTTTCCAGCCCCTCCCTAAGTCACAGGAAGATTAGCAATTCCATAGGCTTATAGATCTGCCAGTAAGCAATGATTTATTTTGGAAAGAAAGAAGAAAAAGAAAAAAAAAGAAAAAGTGGTGTGTAGCTTAGCAAGTGTCCAGCACCCATGTCTGATGATACTTCGGAAAGACAAACTAATCCCTTTAACTCATTTTATTACTGTTGTTGCCGTAGAGAAAATACAAGAACATGGAGGAAGAAAGTAAAAGTAATTCTTTTCATCTGATATTGTAAATAAAGATCTGAAGAGGGAATTTAACAATTAAATATACAATGCTGGCTGGATCAAGAAAGCCTGCTTCTAAATTCATCTGACAGGCACAGTTTTGCTGGTCAAATTACCTCTGTCCCTTTGGGTGTCCCAAAGAGAAGTTCATCCCTTTCTGTCAGGGTTTTTCCTTTAGAGGACATCCTCAGTCAGTTTTCCATCCTTCCTATCACCAGTCCTCAGCACGATCCCCATTTCCTTTCTGGCTCCCTGTCTCCAG